AAGCGCGTCGAAATTGCGACTAATTATGAAACTCCTAAGTCGGAGAGTTTCGAGGATCGAATCTGGTCAAGAGGGTGTGTTAATGACAGAACCCAGATGGGACGAAAACTTTCTTACGTATTGTAAAACAAACGCGACGCGATGATAAATAGCAAGGGGAAATGTCGACAGATAGAGAGAGCTTTGTCGAGATGCTTGCGAACAAGTGTCGGGTCGAAACAATCGCGAAAAGGAGGATTTAATGACAAAAGGGACATCTGTTATGCCCGAATGCGTTAAAGGGTAAATGGCCACAAGAACATCTGGTGGACCGTTTAAGTTCAAAGATGCCAGAGGAAAGGGTCATAACGGAGAAAAATACGAGCGCGGACTTTAAAAACTCCGTTATCACCTCTCCGACCTTTTCCCGACCCTGATCGGTCTCGGGTTTCGCCTAGAAACAAAAGAATGACTAATCGGGGTAAGGGAGTGGGTGAATGGTACCAATCAAAACGGTGATATTCGGGGAAAATCATATAAAATCCCCAAATCTCAAGGACAAACGGCCTATTCTCCTCTGGACAAACGCCACCTCGTAGAGCCAGGACCGTCGCCCGCCAACGGAACACTCCCATCCCAGCATCATTTCTAGTGCAACAGACACTTCTCCACCCAAGCTCCGGGGCTCGCATCTTCGGACTGCATCTGACCACCGACAACCGGAGATCACTGCCATCAAGCCGATCTAGATCGCATTGTTTATTGATATTATGTAAGTTAAACTAGTTATTAATTAAAATAAACGGTTTCGTGTAAGACTTGTCATCTTTGTCTCCCAGTGGCGTACCGTAGTGGGGGCGGAAAAATTTTACAATAAATAATAATAATATCTTGTAAAAATTTGAAACATCCTAATCTATACCTGCATCGCGCCTACGATAGTGCTATCGTCCGGACAGTGCGGGAATCGGCTCGCCGGGTAAACTAGTAACTCTTTCGTCCGAGGATTTCCTGCGAAACCTGTTGACTTTTTTTTTGCTTGTACGATTCATTCGCGTTCATATAGACCACTAATATCCAATAGAACTATTTTAAACACGTCGCTGAACTATCACCGAATTTTTCATTGCTTGTTCTGTGACAAAACTAAATTTTGGTTTTTTTAATTGAAATACCTAAATAAGGGGGGCCGAAATTTTCCTCCGCCCCGGGCGGCTGACACCCACGGTACGCCACTGTTTTCTCCTACCGCCACCATCCACGTATGATTCCCCCCTAGGTTTTCCTGACGAGCAATTAACGTATTGCCCCTAAAAGTCGGCAACTGTGCAATTCCTATACCATCAAAAATATAGAGAGACTGTGTCTTAAACATTGGAGGGGCCTTCACCTACGCTACGCTACTGACTATATATGAACTTCCGATGCAAACCGGAAGTCATGTTATTTCAATTCAAACATTTAAACCCTGAAAGGTATTATATAGATGACCATAGTCTAGCTTTTTAATACTCTTTCTACTCTGTGGACACTAAAAGGGCCTGTGTTTAAATCATGCATTTCATGAGTTCGGCTATGCAGATACTTACGCTATTGTCACTCAGTATCCCGATAAATAGCCACGAGCCGCCAATGATTATTTTATATATTCTTTGTAAATTTTTCAGCAACTGTTTTCGAAAAGAAAAATTCTCACTTTGTTACTTCAATATTTTGAATAAAGTGATTTTAATTACACAATTTTTAATGAAATAATTGATTAAAAAATAAATTTAGAATTTTAGACAAGTATAGTTTTATACAGATAGTCTATTTTAGCATATGCAATTTAGAGGCCGGATGGCCGAGCGGGCAACGTGACAACCCTCCGCTCTGGGTAACCCGGGATCGAATCCGGAAGGGCTAATGGATCTGCTATAAGAGGCCCTCCCAGTGCCCAAAGGGCGAAAAGAGTATTGAAAAAAGGAAATAAATTAAATAACTATAAGATAACTATGAGGATTTCCTTTCCCACTATAAAACTTTATTAATTTAATAACAATGCTTTTTTCAACAACTTTTTAAATTAATTAACTACACACTAATTTTTTGACGTTCTTTTCCATTAAATGTGTATGTCTCGTTTCTTTCGAATAAAACTGTTGATTGTTGTTTTTCAACCTTCTACAAACCACGGATTTAACATCGTTCTAAAAACTACACACAGAACGAACCGCAGTGCTCCATGTGTTAATAACGTGTCGTGTGAAATGTAAACTCCATTATAGGGTGCATTGTTATAAAAAAAAAAAATATTTGCGCGACAATAACGTACGTTTTTGAAAATTTTACGGCCATAATGTATTTACATAGGTTGCTGCTAGAGAAAAAATTCTCTCTTTTGCAGCATTTGAACGTAGAAAAGACAGCACTAATTTAGTTAATGTCGCAATATTTTTAAACAAATGATATATTTTTAAATGATTGCATTTGTAAGATTTTGTCACACGTTTCTGAAATGGAAAGTTTTTCAATTCATCAATTTCACAGCAATCTAATGAAACTAAAAGGTTTCGCCATCCCACTTCAATTTCATCCACATTAATTAAAACATAATGTTTAAAATGTTTTACTAGTTTTAATGTTTAACTTATTGATTAGATGAACTAGAGATTATAGTAAGGTTAATAAATTCTATTTATTAACCTTACTAATCGTTTTTGCACTTCAAATGCAACAGTTGTGTAAAAATTTAAACATCTCAATCTTATACCACCAGAAGCATCAGCTGATATGATATTAAATAAGTTTGCACAATTATATTCCCCAAGTATATTTTTCTAATGATAGATATAACTCAGAATTTCTCACATTCTCAAGTTAATTGTTGCTAAATTTTGTTCCGTAACAATATGGAGTTTCATACAATTTTATATTTTCATATAATGTTTCATAAGAATTTTCAAGTTTATTTACAAAACAGGTACTTCGGAGAAGGCCGAGTGGCGTAGGCAGTTAAGGCATCAACCTACCGTTCTTGGGAATTTAGGTTCGAATCTCACCAGAAAAGAGAAAAATTTCAGGAAAATTTTGGAGGTGGTCTGTTTCGGATATGTAAGACCTAGTTCTTAGAAGAACGTCTCATGGTAGTCCTGGAAGCTAAGGCCTCTTCAACAAACAGCTCTTTAGTTCCTAAAATACATTCGAAGTAGTCATTGAAAGAGAATCAACAAAATCTGAAAGATGTAGGATTCAATGACTACTTCGAATGTATTTTAGGAACTAAAGAGCTGTTTGTTGAAGAGGTCTCAACAAAGACTTCATACAGTACACGAGGAAAAAAATCTACAGACAAGAGTAATTGCAGTAAGGAAAAACATGGTTAATATGAATGTAGACGCAATGCTAAATACCTAGATGTTATTTGCTACTCATTTTCTTCCAATCCGCAATGGGTATAGAAAAAAAGCTCTCTTAGTGTCCACATGACGGAAAAAGTAAAAAAAAAAAAAAAATCGAGAAAAATGCGGAAATGCATCTTCCACAAATCCAAATCCAACCTAGTAATTAATTTTCAAATAGATTAATTAACATTATTCAATCGATGTTGTCAGGGCCGGTTTTGGTAGTTATGCAGTGTGTGCATGTACCCGGGCAATAGTGCAGTAAAAAATATAATTTTTTATACTGTAAATATAATAATCAACAAACTCCTGCCCGTCATTATCTAACTCCTTTCGGGGCAGAACTTTATGAATTATGTATAGTTAATCGGGACATCCTGCCCCTAAGCTCTCTATATTTGGTCTTGTTCTCAATGTATCTAACTCCGTTCTCGAGATTAAAGAAGGACAGACGACTGAGAATTTATAGGTCTACAATTTTTTGAAATTGCGGTCTAACCTAAATAAACAAAGAGATGCGCACCAAAGTTATTAATTTAAATATTCATATTTAAATAAATTTTTATATACATATGTATACTTATGTATTATATATTAAATAAGAAAAATTTCATTTTAATTTGCAACTTGTATTTTATGGCGGCGCAGAAATATAACTTTCAACAAAGGCTGGTATTATCGGCTTTTTTTTTTTGAGTGCACCACTCTGAAGTGAGTATTACACTAAATCAATAATTACATATATAAAATGACAAGAGGTAGGTAAGAAAATGAACAATGCAATACATGGTTAGCTAACACCGGAATTCGAAGAAACAGTTAACCGTTTTTTCTTAAAATAATCCTTAATAAAAATAGCAAAATAAGCACACAGTTCCTTGGACACAAGAATATACGCTGGACAGGGCCAACCATATCCCAAGGACAGAACTTCCAGCATTAGCCTGAAGCGTTCAACTTCATAGATATGACATTCGTAAATTATGTATTTTACAGTTTCGGCTTTACCCATTGCGCATGAGCAGAAGGTACTGCTGCCCAAATTACGTGCCGATAAATAGCAATTAAAATTACCATGTCCAGTAAGTATTTGAGAAAAGGAATAGGAAAAATTCTTAAATTGGATTCTTAAGAAAATCATAAACTGTAGTACAAGATGTTCTGCCCATAAACTGGGTAGAACATCTTGGTGACATTTCCTTTAGTCGAAGAAGTCCATGACTGGTTCCATGCAGAGATAAGATGGTCATAAATTATCCTCGTCAGGACATTTCTAGAATAAGACTGTAAAGTCAGAGGTAAGTTTTCATCTTTAGAAGCATCTTTTGCCGCAGCATCTGCCATCTCATTACCTATCACGCCAAATGTCCTGGGACATGGGAGAATTTAAAGCATTTCAAACTTGAGCTTACGGTTTCTTGAATATTTCTGATCCGACTACTTCGAAAGTCAATATTCATAAGGGTATTATCGGCTTGATTTGAATAAAATTAAAATAAATATACTGTATATCAAATATTTTAATGGATTTTTTACCCCTCTCATACATTGGCTTAGATTTTGAATTTATTCGCGATTAGCATTGATAGGGGCGGCCAACAGTCCAAAACGGGCCTGGATATTATTTCAATAATATAATCGGAAGAAGTCGTGACAGAAAATATCGACAGCAGTGCCATCTATTTTCTCTCATATTATTTGGAGGTCAGAAGTTAAAATGGCGGCGAACATAGTAGCGTTGACGAGGTTGAGTGCAGGTAAAACTTACTTTGTCACTCACTTATTTTGATATTTATTTTGATTTTTCTTATATAAATGACACTTATTATCGTGAACATATAAATTGAAATAATAGGTAAAACAAGAATAACGTAATATGCATAGTTATCTGTGATAACGTCAATTCTACTACTAAAAAGTTTGTTTTCCTCCTGTTAAGAAAACAGATGATACAGATGTTTCTTATTAAATTGATTTCTATTTCTTATAAAAGTGTTACAAACGAAACAGGCTTTAGTTGAAGAATGTACTTTGACCTTTAAGCTGTACTTATTGTTACAGATTATAAATAAATGCTCGATACGAGTAAGGAGTAAACAATTTAGTCAATCGTTTTAAGTAAACATAAGGTTATATCTGTTTTAAAAAAAATCTAACAAAGAAGACTTTGATCTTTGTAGAAACTAGAAAAAGTTGAATGGATCATAAATCTTAATAAAGTTAAAGTTTTTGTCAAAGCTGTAATTCAGTATAAACTGTACATCAAAAATATTTTATGTAAAAAAATATATACAAGCTTATCTTCCTTTTTTCATATCAAAATTTTTTATTTAATTTACTATATATATAATATTTAGAATTTGTAATTAATCTGATATCTAAAATACATAGGTGCTTTTACTATTTAACTCGTATATCAGGTGGTGGCTTTTTATATTAAATAAGCATCCACATGATTGCTGTATCTTACATTATTATTCTGCTAAAATTTTATCATTAAACTACGGTACTACTACTCAGACCTTTAAAATGCAGTAAAGTTTTATTTTTTGTGTTTTTGATCATCTTTATCAACCTTCTTCAGAATAGAAAGAAGCAAATTGAAATTTAAAAAGAGTGAAAGCTGGAAAGTATTCTGAATAAGCTGATTTGAATGTTAATATTTTACAACAATGAAAATTTGAATGCATAAAATATAAATGTATACAAATAAAAACAAAAAACACAAAAATAAAATTAAAATGAAAGAAATAAAAGAAAATAAAGTACATAGCACTTGACTGTACCTTTAACAAAAATATATATAAGAACTAAACTAATGACAAAATTCATATATTATGCATACTATTCCATACAAAAATGTTATAACTTTATACTAAAATATCAACTTTAATAAAATAAAATAATCTACTAAAATATCAACTTTATACTAAAATATCAATATGTTTAAACAGCTATATGTTCTTTATCATCATAGTTTGTTATCTGGAGCCCAAATCTAATAATTTTATAACTACTACCGTGCACCTCTTTGAAAAGACATCTTAATAGTAATACAGGTATACCTCGATTTACGTCGTTTCGAGTATGTCATTCCCGATTATACGTCGTTTGTCAAAAAAATATATGGAAAAATAAAAATCAAGTTTAAGTCATTTTATTTGACTTTGTCTGTCCACCATAAATATTGAAGTCGTAATATCACTAGAAAAGCATTTAAAGCACATAAAATCATATTAAAATATATACATTTACAAGTATGTACTGTATTTACAGTACATGTATTTGTAAATTTAGATTACTTTTTTCTGTACTATATTGAAAACTAAAATTTATTTGTTTGTAAGCTTAAAATAGATCCTTATTAATCATATATTATTAAAAATGCATTAATAAATAAAATACAGAACCGGGAATGGTAATTTATGGTTTAGCCTAGTGACAAGTAGATTCGGAGACAAGTAAATTCGACTTACGTCGCCTCTCCTGGAACCAATTACCGACGTAAGGCGAGGTATACCTGTACTGTGTTTTATTTCAGAGTAGTAGTTACAGTATATCATTGTTTTATATAAATTTTCCTATTATGATCTGATTGAAACTAATATGAGCCATTGCAAATGAAAGTGGTTTAAGTACATTTATTTTTAAATTGAGATATTTAAATGTTTGCATTTGTATTGATTCAAAATGATTGATAACTGATAATATGTGATATTACATTTTTCTGATTATAAGTATGCTTTATATTTTTACAAAAAGATCACATAGAATTGTAACTAGTGTTGTCATTAACTTGATTTAAAAAAAAAAAAAAAACGCATTTAAACCATTTTCATTTTCACCAACTCATATATATTAATAAAGCCCATCAAAAGTTACAAATTAAATATAGTTGAAATTACAAAAATTTCATTCAAGTTATTGTCATCATAACTTGCAAATTATTGCAAATATGATTTGCAATTGAAAATCAGGAGTTAGAATTAGAAATTAACTATCAGTTTTATTCCAATAACTAGCTTACCCGTATTGCTGCGATCTCAGAAGAAAGGAAATTAAAGCAAACTCGTTATGATAAAATTAAATTTACATTTTATCATTTTTATTGAAACTTATTATTATTATTATTCATTTTCATTGGGAAAACATTTCAAAGTGTCGTTTCAATTCTGTTTATTTATTGGAGTGCTTGTGGATACACGATATTTTTTGTTTTTCCGTCTGGTGCATACATGAATAAATCAGAAGGTTTTCCGACGCGTGAGCCAGCCACATACAGTTGTCCATGCGAGAAGCATGGATTCTCCAAATTTAGCTCATACACTTGCAGCAATTGTCAGAAGTGCAATATTTCCCATTTTTATATATGTATTTTTTAATCCTTTATAATTTTAATTATTTAATTGCTCCTTCCTCTCTTCCTTGGCATGTTGTGAAATTTCTGATAGTTGGATAATAAACCGTTTTATTGTAATTTGAGTCAATATTAAAATTTGGAAAAGGGGGATACCTAGATTGGTAAAATACGCGAATTTCTTCCTACAACTTCAGTTGTTGTTCGGGGTACAGTTAAGGTTTTAACGAAATTCAAGCGAATACATAATTAGCAAAAAAAAGTTGAAATAAAGTGATTAAACAAAAATTATTACAAATATCGTAAATAACAGTTCACAAATGCATATATAGAGATATTTTTTGTAGGGGGGAAATGGTCTTCACAATTTGAAATCGATCGAACACACAGTGCTTGAATGCTTGTGTAAATGTGCGCCATGGTTAAACTGTTATGTATCGTTTATGTGTATATATGTGTTTTCCTATTTATCTTATATTCCCAATCGTACCATGTGTCGTGGCGCAGTATAGCCTGCATGGCTTTTGTGCCAATAAAAATTAACCAACCGTAAACGCGCGCCATCTATCGTAGGATAAATGCCAGAAACCTTCGCGGGAGTGTATTAAAAAACTTCTCAAATTTTCACGGTAATCAGATAAATGGTGTGGTAATGCATGAAGGACACACACACACACACACACACACTCATTTTTATATATATATATAGATAACTGTCCTCAAGTAGTAACAAGTTGCATTTTGCCCTTAAAACTTGAAATATAATAACTGCTTGTTGTTTTTTCTGTTTCCCTATTTTCAGGAATCCTTGAATGGTAGCCATGTCTACTATTCAAGGATTTCTGAAAACTTAGGGAAACAATGAAAAATTAATATATACTGTAATGTTCAGTAGCTAGTTACCATATTTATTTAACAAATAAACTTTAATAAAAAATAAAATATATAAAATTTAGTAGGTGTATTTTATAATTATTTTTTTTACTGGTATACAAAAAGTAACACTCATTATAAAGAAAAGATACCAATTGCCATTTTAAATATAATTTTAATAATTTGTTTTAAAATTAAAATTATCACAAATAAATATTTCAATACTATATTAATAAATAGATATTAAACAGTTGTCATATTTCTGCACAAATAAGAGTTCTTATTAGTTATATGTGAAATTCACTTGTGTTTATTTTGAAAAAAGTCTTGCTTAGCTTATAGAGCAAACCTTGCTTACAAGAGTATGCTCTTATGTGTGCCAGCTTGTTTTGCTTTATAAGAGCACTGCACTGCTTTGTCAATGTAATTTAAATATACATGAACTGATTGATATACTGTAGTAACTACTATATTTTTGCAAATTGACTAGCTTGTTTGGTAAAAACTGGCATGTCAGTTTACCTGGGGAAAGCTGGTTTAGTTGCTGTGTTAGTTTAAGTGAGGATATGCATGACAGAAGGAAAAAAATGTGAAAAAAGGAATTGAGTCTCACAGATGCCAGTTTTTATTCTAAACTGTGAGATTATCAATGTTGCATCAAAAATTATGATTATATCTTTACTTTTTACATTTTGACTTCTCTCTAATGATATAAAATACTTGTGGATTGCCATTTTTATGTTTATTTGATTGTAATTTGATCTGAAAACACAAAAAATAAACATATCAAATTTCAATTCATTGTAAATTATCTCAAATTTTACAGATTGACATTGGATTTGTTTGTAATTGGAGGTTGATAGGTTGGTTCTCAAAGTCACTATCCTGACTTTGAAAATCAACCTCCAGTTACAAACCAACTTATTTTCAAGGCAGATTGTCAGTGCAGCCTGCACCACCACCTACTGATAATATCAGTTAATCACCAATTGTTTTAATACACTGTAAACAAAAATTGCATCATTTGCATTTTTCCTTGCATGTACAGATGTTGTATGTAGATCAAAAATGAGATTAAATATATAGTAAGCTAATTTTCAGAGAGAGAGAGTGACATTTTTATTTTTTAGTCACAGTTTTATCTGCATGCTGGTGACTCTGGATTTTCTGGTATGCAGGTCTTCCCTAGTTATATGCAGCATTCTCATCAATCCATGAAATTATGATATTCAGTGATATCTCTATTGCTACCACTATTAAAAATAAGATGCTAAAATAAAAAAAATGTTTCTGATACTATAAAATTTTTCTAAAAATGAGTTTTTTTTTTAGATATTTTATGGTATACAGTGCAAATTTTCCCACAGCAATAAGAGGATACATACTTTTATATTTGGATATAAGATCACACTTTCATAAGTGCAGAAATATAGTATGTGCAAAGGAAATAATAATTTCCTTAAACAATAATTGCAATTGAATAGTAGCCACAGCTTTTGTTTAAATAAAACAATAATAAGCATTTAAATACTTAAAGTAAAATAAATTCTTATTAGTTGTGATTTCATCTAGGTTTGCAAATACAAATGCTAGTTTAAATAAAATGCATTTTATTTAAAATTTTATTATTTAAAAACTGATTGAAATTGTGGATTAAACTTAAAACAAATTATATTGCATAAATGAAATTTTTTATCAACTTTAATTTAGAACAGTGATTCCCAACTGGGGATATGTGCTTGGTTTAGGGGACATGAAAAAAAATTAATAATGGTAAATGTACTATAAGAATATTCAGATCCTGTGTTGAGGTACTTGATGGTTAGTTTTAAGTAAATTTTTATACAGTATTTATCCATGTTCTTCCTGCAATGCTTTTCAATTTAAAAATAATTTTTTAATGTAATTGTACAGCACTATATAATTGACCAAGGTGCCAGTGTTTGACAAACATGTGAAATAAATCTTAGCAAAAGTGAAAAATGGGAAATAAAACTTAGGAAAATGGGCTTCCAAGGGGTATGCAAGACAAAAAGATTGGAAACCCACTGGTTTAGAATAGAGTTTAGATTATGGTAAGAAATTAAAGTAATTGTAAAGTAAAGAATATAAAGTAATTATTATCAGGCCATACTAGAAACCATTTTCATGGTTTCTAGTATGGCCTGATAACAATTAGAATTGTGCAGGTTTAATTTTGTTGTCATAAAAGAGTCTTTTTGTTTTAATAATGACATCTGTCCAAATGCAATTTATGTATGTTTTTGGTGTATATATATTATATGCAGCCTCTTTTAAATAAAATATGGTCTTCTCATTACAAAGTTCTCTACCTGTGGTTTAGATTTTGAGTAAAAACTTTTCTTTCATCTTGCTTAATTAGTTTGATTCAGATGAAAATTTTTATTTCTTTCTTCATCTTTGAAGAATTTAATTAGGAATGAATACTGTGCATTATATAGATATTATTAGTGAGTTGAATCAATAATAATTGAACAACTATTAAAGAAGAGAGTAATGTGAAATTGAAAACACACTCTTAGAATTATATTTTAACTATTTTATACACAGTATTTTAACTACACTAATTTGATAGTTATTTGGTAATTGTTAAGTATAAAACAGAATAATGCATACAATTAAATATTTTTTACTAGAATTGTTAGTTTTGCAAACAAGTGGTGAGGAATTGGAAAAAGTAATTAGACTAATTAAATTAATATATTAGAAAATATAACATTATCACTCTTCTGTTAGCCTTATTGTTATTTTCATCATTAGCAATTTCTTGTATCAAATTCTAAGTTTTGAATGATAATATTTTCAAAATTTTGTATGTGTAAAGTTATACAAAAAATAACTATAAATTATCTGAATAAGAATACTTTATCATCCAGTAATTTCTTAGTTAATATTTAAATAAATATGTTGTAAGTAATACAAAATTTTACTGGTATAAATAATATGTAGTATAACTAATATTTTAAAATCATTTTTTCATTTTTATTTTCAGTTAGGTGTCTTGGTTTAAGAAATTGTAGTTATAGTGCTACAAGAGTCAATTTAAAAATAGGAAAGGATACTAAATTAATATGTCAAGGTTTCACTGGAAAACAAGTAAGTATATTTTGAATTAATAATAATGTTTACTTTAATATTAATTAAAGTAAAATTTTTTTACTGATTAACATCAAGAAATAATTACTATGTTATAAAAAAATGACCTTTTTGATTCTTCATACAGTAATTGTGAAAATAAATTAGAACTTAACAATTTTTATTATTGACTACATTATTATATTATTTATGCACTTATATTGTCAGGAGATAATACCAATAGAACAGAATTCTTAAGTTTTAAACAGAATAACATTTTTTAAATAACACAAATTCGAAAATTAAAATTACACATAAGATTAAACTGTAAGATAATAAATTTAAAGGATAATAATATAGGATAATAAATTTAAAGGAGTTTGAAAAAGAAATAAAATAAAAATTAATTTAATGAAAAAAGCAATTAAAAGATCAAAATATAACATTATGAACAAGGTATAAGTTTCCTGTCCGATGATTTGTGTAAAGCATGATGGTTACTAGGATTATTTACATAAAATAGTATTGTTTTACAGTAAAACGTTTGAATTTCAACAAATAATTAATCATTTGTTATTGTTTGATGAAAGATGCATTTTGTTATATTTTTACTTATTTATGATTTTTACATGGACAAATTAATAAATTCATAGAAACTGTCATGTATAAGTATGAAATATAATGCATTATATTAATAAAAAAAATGTTTGATTTTTAAATTTGTAACAGATTAATGAAAGACTTATTCAAAAGACCCTATATTTAAGTTTGCTCCTGGTGCCAAATGCTCTAGCCATTGACCCTGATGTAGACAGATTTTAGAAGACATTATTTCATACTATTTTTTCTTTTTTTGATGATTTACTAATATATTTTTAATATTATTTGTTTAGAAATGACAACTCAGGCATTAAAATTTTTTTATAGGGAACATTTCACAGTAAACAGTCTCTTGAATATGGGACACAATTTGTAGGAGGAGTTTCTCCAGGTAAAGGTGGACAAACACATTTAGGTCTTCCTGTTTTTAATTCTGTAAAAGAGGTAAGATATATAAATTTTTTTAGCTGATATTTACTAATATCAAATACAGTAGAACCTCAATTATCCGGACTAATTGGGGATGAAGGTAGTCCGGATAAGGAAAAATCTGGATAATCGAAACAAATACTTTAATTTGTCTTTTAATGATAATACAACACGTTTTCTTTTCAATGACATATCGGTAATATTAAAAGTAAATACTGTATTTAAATCGTGATCAAA